TTTATTAGCACATTTTGACGAATCTATCGCCAAACGATCCTCGAATGGTTAAATGGTCTCACGAGAATAATCAGTGGAGTAAGCGAAGCCAGAAATGAAGCGAACGTTGGTAGGAAAAAATACCGAAATATTAATTAATAAAGTTTATCGTACTAATGAATTAATGAATTAAATAAATGAAAAATTTTATTATCCAACTAACCAAATTTGATAATAAAAATCATGAAAAGAAAGTTAAATCTTTCTCGTATAAATGCAGCAATTTTATTAAAAAGCGATAAAAACGTCTCGTTATCAATCGTTATCAGTCTTTACGAACTATTTGTGATACATTTTATCAATTTTTATTTTTTTTTGTTATTAATGTGATGCTTACATTCTTTTAAAATCTTTTAAATGAATAAAAGAAATATCTCAGATATGATATGACTAATTCGTATAAAAATAAGTGTATGCATGCTAAGACAATTATTTAAAGCAAATCAGTTTCAGTCGAAAAGCCGCAGAGATTCTTTCGATGATCATGGCAGGTGCCATAATTAGCATAACAGTTGTAGCCAAAAAGCAATTGGTCTGAATCGTTTTATTCTCATTTGATAACCATTAAATACACTAAGAATAATGTGAATTTCGCTTTTTATGATGGCTTTTTAAGTTTTTTTTCAGTAAAAATTCATTTTTTTCAAAAGTTTCGACTATTTTTATTTATCTTCGATTTAGAAAGATTTAATTTAATTTTTAAAAAAGAAGAATAAATATTCTTGAGAAATACAAAAATAAAAATGAAAAAAGTGCTAAATAAGAGTCGATCGATTTGAAAAGAACAACACAAAGCATAGCTTCAAAGAAAATTTCTGATCCCTATTTTTTTGTTGCTTTCCAGGATCCCATTGATTAATAATATCCTCCTCAAGCAATATGACGTCCATCCGCATATATTTATTATATTGATTCTAATATATCGTTTTCATTTAAATGTTGCTTAATTGTTTAATATTCGCCTTAGGGAAATTTATATGGTCCGACATGCCAGCGAACGAGCTTAACCAGAAATAAAAAATGCGCTTTTAGGGAAAAAACTCGATTTTTCATGAAATAGCCAAAAAAATTGGATAAAATTGGAAAAGTAGAACATTAATTTGACATTGATTTCGAAGATTTTCGCACTGCTATTTCTTATTTTATGTGGAAGTACGATTTTTTTCAATTCATATGCAGCGATTTTACACAAAGTTTAGTGTTATAGTTATAATTTAATAGATTTGCCTTATTATAGATTTAGAGCTGGCACTCATGAATAAACCACATTTTGCTTCTGTTGGTAACAAAAGATGTTGGTAGCCTGATTTGAATTGCTTAACTAGAAGCTACGATTAAGGGAGACAAATGCGGATTTATATCGTTGTGATCTAGCCATTCTCCAGCTCATTGAAATGAATCCTAAGAATCAGTAGAACCAGCCAAATCAGAAGTGATGAGTGCTGTTAAGACGAGAATTAAATAAAAATCTTTCAATGTTCATAAATTAGATTTGGTTCTTTTATTCATAAATTCCGCCTTTTTTAAATGAAATAATGTTTATTTAATTTGTTTTTCCATAATTTCTTCTTAAATTCACATTGAATTAGTCTTATTCTTCCTCTCTTTTTTAACTTTTATTTTGTTTTATCAAATTTTATTTAATGTAAACAACTGAAATAATAATTGAAAGTTTTGATTTTCATTTCGCTTTTCTCAGATTATTTTTTCCTTTAAAATTTTATGAATGAAAACTTAAAAATTATTAGCGATAATAGAATCTTTGGTTGACTTTTTCAATTTTCTTATATAGTTTGAACGAATAGTTGTGAAATTAAGGATGAAAATAAATGCAAAAATTTCTTGTTATTCTCTAGCAGCTATACGATTTTCCTTAATGCGAACTACGAACTACAATGCATTTCTGTTCTGCTCAACTTTACCTGACTAGAATGCATTGTACTCTTAAATCTGGATCATTGCTTCGGAATTTGTTAAACTTCGATCAGAATAAGCGGTAACCAATATGTCCTTCTCGTTAAACAAGTAATCGAATCATATAGGTTTCGCATATGGGTTTTGTGATACTCAGACCTTGGGAAAAATTGCATGACCTTGCTTTGAGAGTAATGATTTTCTTTTTCATAAATAATCGACGATTTGGTACCTGAAGTCTGGCAGGTTAGTCATAATATAAACATATCTTCATGTGACTAATTTTCTCTAAAGTTGAATGAGAATCAACTGAAATTAAGACCAATTAACTAAAAATATTTAAAAAAGAATGAGCAAATTATTTCGATTAGGAGCAATTATGAATCCTTTAGCATCCCTTTCAAGAAAAGTCCTAGATAAGCATTGCTTGAAACGATTGATGGCTTAAATAGAGCCTTTTTCTCAGAAAAAAACTAGTAGAAAATTATTATTAAATGAAATCACTGAATCATTTGTTGGTTGTAATGTAAAAAATTAATTAACGATATTGGAAATGGATATGGCGTGCAAAAATTGAAAAATATTGCAGGAAACTATCTCAAAAAATATTTAATTAAGTCAAACAGTGCAACCAAAAATTAAAGATACTCTGGGAATTCGAAATTACCACGGGTTTAAATTCCGCCTGTTTAATTCTTATCAGTGATCACAACTTCATTATTACCATTCAGAAATAAGAGATTCAATTGTATTTTTGAAATTAAATATTGCATTCATGCATCGTATATGGAATTTTCATATATATTCATTCCAAAACTGGATTTTATGAATTTTTAAATTAAATTACAGCATTTAGAATATCGCTAAAATAAAACATATATGGCCAATGTTCTTCGTGACCATTATTGTTCCAAAGATGCAAGCGAGGCAAATCCAATTTCCAAATAGCATTTTATGAGTTCAATATTTGATAATTATTAGTTTTTAAATATTTATCAACCAAATAATGTACTTATTATATTAGATTATATTAAAAATATTAAAAAATAACATAAAATTTGTGATATTTCTGACAAATTAATAGCATCAAACCACTGATTTCATATATATATATACTTCTATTTGATTTGATTGTTCGAATTATTTTTTCTGTCTTTTCTATTTTCATCATGATTTATAATATTCTTTTTGGATGTTTTCCACATAATTTTATTTCTATTAAAATGACTTTTCCATGACTGAAAATTTACTAAGCGAATTTTAATTTTTTTATAACTTTGCTTAATCTTATATTAATACCAATTAAAAAGGTTTTGCATTTGTAGATTCTTCAATTTTATAAGCAATGCGACTTGTAATTTTAGCTTCTGACTTTTACTTTATTTAATTAATATTTTAAATGAATGTTTAATATAAAATGGCTTGCAAAATTTTATATTTTCTCATTTCAAAATCGTGAATTTCGAGTTTATTTCTTCTTCTGAAATTTCTCCTAAAGTTTCTGATACCAAACGAAAAATTCATTCATTTCCATTTTAATATACAATTAACTTTTCATTTTGGTACCATTTTCTCGGAACAAAATTTTACAGGAAATTAGTGAATTTATTTTCGTTATTGAGTAAACATCAACATTAAGTAAGGTATTTCACTTAATTGTTTAATTTGATTTGAATTGTTTAATTTAATTTGATGAAATCGCTTAATACTAATGATTTTATGAATTTTTTTAAACATATATCATAAAACATTGGTTCTATGAAATTTTCTTGCATCGATTGTCGCAGTCTGTTTTCTAATTTTTCTACTTTTTTAACATCTTTTTCCAAATTTTTCGTGTTTTTGAAAATGTTGAAATACCATTGAAGTTTCGACTGAATTAGTCTAATTAATTACTTCACTTGTTTTCGAACTCTAATAGAATCAATTATTTTTCTAATTATTACCTAAGCCAATGGTCGTCTGTTTTGTAATGTTGTGAAGATGCTTTTCCTCCGCAAAAAAATTGTAAAGATTCAGTCATTCATTTTATATGAAGAAAGGTGAAAAAGTGCTGGCTGATAGTTGTTGTAAAAGCTTGAATTATGCTCATTAGAGAGGAATACTTTTTTTTTGAAGAGCGTTCACCTAGTTTGATTGGCTTCGCACTGGACAAATTCTGCTAGAAAGCTACTCGGCTGGAAGCAAAGGAATAAAATGAATATTGCAATCACTTTATTATATTATGAATTAAATACTTGTCATGAAAATAAATGAATTAACTGTTGCAAAGGCTAATTAGTTCGTTTTTTTAAGATCAATTTCTATTTTCTTCATTTTTACAATAAATTACAGCCTTGCCAGTAATGGCAAAAAGCCTCATCATAAGGCTGATTTTAAAGGGTTAATGCCTGTAGCATTGGTTGTAATCAGATTTAAGAATGGTTTCAAATGACGAGATTGAAATTTTGTCTTTGGTATAGAATCGTGATTTATATTTTGATTGACCCTAAACCCTAAGATTTAAGATATTTCAAAGGTCAAGTTACGATTTGACAATTTATTAAAATTTCACCATTCGTTTCAGACATTACATAAATTCTATTCGTTTTATTCATGTTATCACCATTTTCTATTCAGTTTTCTTCATAAATTTTTGTAAATTTGACTTTATTGATCATAAATTTCTATGTGAGAACGTTAAAAAATTGAAGAAATAAAATAAGAAATTGAAGAATCATTGAATCGACTGTTTTTTTCCAAGATTTCTGGTTAACCATACTCCGCTGGCATTCGGACCAGGTGAATTTCGATAGTCACTTAGCGATAGAAACACTGGCGGTTCTCCAGCATTACTCAGATTTTTGACTTGATTTTTGACTTGATTCGAATTTACTCGGATTGAAAGACAGACAGATTTATTTTCATGCGAAGAGTTGGCGCTCTGAAACGGCTAAACAAAATATTGTTCTAATCTTGCAAATAAATAATTTTCATAGATTTTTTTATTTTAAAAAAATCGTTTTTCCATATCAATTCCTGTTTGTATAACTTTTTTAAATTTTAATATGGAAGTTTGTTGCAATATTTCTGTAAATTCGACTTATTCTTCATTTTTCTTTGCACTTAAAGCGGTTGTTTTTTTTCGTTTTGTTTAATATTTTTATTTATTCAAATTATTATTTTATTAAAGAAATTTTTGCAGAAAATTCATTTAATGAAATTCTAAAATAAATTTTCAATAAATATTTTTTATTCAAAATATTTATTTATTTATTATAAATTCGTTTTATCAAAAAAATTCGCCTCTTTCACTCAATTTCATTTAAATTTTCATAATGTATTTATAAAAAATTTATCGAATTTTCGATATAAAATAAATAAATAAATCTTTGTTTAACACAAATATAAATACAGTATTCAAGAAGAGTGCGATTCACACGACCAAGTAGCCAACATAAACGGATGCACTATAGACGCGACGGGACTCATTAATCACCACACAAATATGTACTTACAGCAGACTTCCCTAGTACAACCAAATGGAAACAATAGTTTGTTTCGCTTTTTTCTTGAATTAATCAAATTCACCACTATAATTTTGTTAAAAATTATAGCTATAGGATATTATTAAGTATTAGTGGTGAAAACTATAGGAGTAGTTGTAAAAGCTTATAAGAAATTTAGTAAAAGTTTGAGTCACCAAATATACGACTTTCAGCAAGAAGTCAAAGTCGTTCTACTGAAGGTTCAGGGTCAGGTGGTCTGACACCGTCAAATTCATCGCAACAGTCGTCAAGTGCACAAGCCGTTCAGCACAGTCAACATGTACCACCAATGGGACAATTGAGTGTTGCATTACAACAAGCAACTGGTATTGAAGCACATTCATCGAATTTCCCATTTAATAATTCAGGTAAATTGGAAATTTATTAGATTCATTAGGCCTTTTTTTATTGGTCATATTTGTTAACTGCTAATCGACTTTAGGCTATTCTAGTGATTGACACAATCTTGAAAATAGAAAAAATAAAAAATTAGCCAGTCGAAAAAAATTCTAAGAAATCAGAGATCATGCGCATAAAAAATTTTTAAATAAAGCTTAAATGAGAAATTTCTGCTTCAAAAAATTGGAAAATTAATGATCTGATCTCGATTTTATTAACAAATTTCGCTGTAAACAGTTTTAATACCTGTTCATCTTCTTTTTTACTGTCCAAATGTCATCTCTGTCAAGCACGAAAATCAATTGTCAAATGTTGCCAAATTAAAATGCAAAAAAAGCAAATCGAAACTTTTTCAGATTATAGTACCATTGCCTTTTTTGTGGCACTCATTTATAGATCGGGTTTTTAATCTTATTATGCTTTTCTATGGTAATAAATTAAATGTCTCACTGAATGTTAATTATAACTTTCATCAGCGCACAAAAATTAAACCCCACAATACAATCAAGGCGACTACTTTAAAAGGGATTCACTAAAGAGGCATTTGGAAATAGAGATTTAGCCATTCCAAAATTAAGAATTTTATCAACAATAATTATTCATAAATTTATGATCAATTTGCCGTCAAATTTTTTTACTGAAATTTTTCTTTGGCAATAATCTCTTCTTTGTGTTATTAGATTGTTTCTGGGTCAGAAATTTAATAGTCGAATTATTAGCTCATTGGTCTTTGTGGTACTTTCAGTAGTTGAAATATTTATTCGAAACTTATAGTTTAAAAAAAAAAAGTTTTAAATAGCTGCCATACCTTTACTTTACCTTGATATACCTTGTTAGCGCTCAGCCTGGTTAGACTCGCTTCACTGGCTACTGTTACGATCAAAATTTTTTATCAGAGTTACCACCTGGAGATAGATACATAAGTGAGCTCTTCCGCTGGAGACAAGATCTGAAACCTGACTTCAATACAATAATCTGAACAATAAGAATTCTGCCTCTATCCACACATTCATTCAAAACTCTAAACAATTTATACCTTCAGATTTATTTTCATCATTTCCAACAAATCCGAACTTATTATCTTATCAAATGCGACCGGATCTGATGGGATTACCAGGATTTCGGGCGCCGAATGGTTCAACCATGAATTCGGTATTTTTCTTCTCTTTCTTGATCCAGTTTTTTTGAGACCTAATCTTCTTCAGCTATAACAATGTTCATTTTTGATATTTTCGAAAGTACATTTCTCACTTTAAATGCGAAATTTTGTACAAGATGCACAACAAAAAAAAACAATAATTTCGGATGACGATGACCTAATTCAACTCACTGATTTTCTTCCAATATTTTAAATCTTGCAAAAATAAAATCTAAGTTTATCAGTTTCTCGAGCACAGTGATCTTATCACCAGTCAATAGTAAAGTTTTGCGTTCGAAAAAATTTCGTTTTCTTATAAATTCATGAATAATATAATATTTTTACTTTGAATTATATAAGGCAATATAATAAAGTAAGAAAAAAATGAAAAAAGATATCGGAGATATTGCAAAAACCATAGCAATGAAATCTAATTTTTCGAAATTTTTATGATTTCAACATTTTTCAATTTTTTTAAAACGATAATTTCATAATTTAAATAATGAACAGAAAAAAAGAAATTTTTATCAATAAAAAGGCTAATTTTCTTCATTTTTTCCTAGAAACTTTTTTTTGAAAAAAAGTTTAGTTTAAATTTTATAATTAAGCATTAATTTAGCTAATAACAAAGCAATGATCATAACATATAACACAACATCAAAAATATTTTATTACTTTGCCATTTATCATTACTTTTTTTAAAAAAAACGAAGAAAAAGATATCGACGAAAAGAAAAATTAATTTTTCCTTAAATTAAATTAACCAATATGATTAGTTTAGCAAATATATGTAAAAAATTCTTTAACTGACATTTTTTTCTATAAAAAGGCTAGTTCGCAACAATATTTTACTTACTGAATCGAGCAAATAATTGAGAATTCGTTCTTCTTCGTTTTCATTTTTTTTTGCATGCGGTCATGCGTAGTTCGAATTTTTATTAAATAAATCGAAACAAGAATTGTCCAGGTTTTTTTATTTTCTAATTTTTTTATTTTTTCTTTTCAAAACGATTGAAAATTAATCTTGGCAATTAGCTTTATTTAAATTTTTCAATTTTTTAAGGTTTTCTTCAAAGAATTTCAAAAAAAAAATTATTAAAAGAAATGTTATTATTAAATAATTATTGAATTATCAAAAAATTATTATATATTAAAAATTTTGAATTTGAAAATTTTATTTTTTATTTTGTTAAGCATCAAAATCAGATTTTAAAATTTGAATTTCACCATAATTTTTCTTTTTTATTTTCAAAAAACCAGTTAATGAAAATCGTTAATCCGTTTCTCTTTTTTGTTTTTACGTTCATTTTTTCTTTTTTTTGATTTTCTTAATCTTTTCTAAATTTAATTTTCCAAAATCGAGAACTTTGTCTTATCACACAATTTGTCATTTAACAATCCTTATATATCAATATCATCATATATCAATCATCTCAAAATATTTTTTCTTTAAAAATATTATTTTATCCTTATTGAATAAAAGTGAGGATGCCGATGGAAAATCACCAATCGATGTATAAAGTGCTTTTTTTTCCGCGTTCGTTCGTTCTCATAAAGTGCAAAAAAATGTCTCTGGGTGGTACAATTGTTTACGAGGCAATTTTGGCGACTGGCACCAAGCCAGTCATAACTGGTCGAACGAATTCACAATGCAACAAACAACACATTGCTATCGACTGAATTCCTATCATCATCATCATCTCGAATTGCTTTCCTGTTTCTCATCCCCTAAAGCTTCCCCCACTCCACCTTTTAATAACAAGTATTCTTCTCTCAAATCAATTTCGTTTTTTTTCGGTCTTTGTATTAGTTGAATTTAATGAGCCAACCTTTGCTTATACTTACTAATTATCTATATAAGACTATCAGCATATCTCTTAAATTTTCATACACTAGAAGGAAATGAATATTTGTTTTTCTTTATAGAAGCACAAAAGCGATTTTAAAATTGCGAATAATTAAAAGAGGTACTAAAATTTATGAAATGAAAGTATCAGTTAAAACGACAAGATAATAAACCTTCAAAGATAAAAATAGCCCAGTGGATTGTTGCTATAATTCTGGACCGCTTCCACGGTCCTAGGGTTGCTCTCAAGGTACCCTGAAAAGAGGATCCATTTTTCAAAAATCAGAAAGACTTTTGGCGATACAATTTTATCATCAAGCGATTTCCCGACAAAATTCTAATCTAGCAAACCAGCTGAGCGATGTTTAAACAGAATGGCTCTTAGAAAAAAATTATTTCTTCATGGAGAAGTGCATTTTTCTTTAATTTCTTTTCTATTAAGGAAAATCTTTTAAAAAAGGATATAATAGTGTAAATTTAATGATATAGCTTAGTTAAATTCATTTTTCACTGTCTTTTTCGAATAAAGAAATATAAAAATTGAATGAATGTGATAATAGAAGAATAATCGAATAACCATTTTCTCCTAATATTTTTTAATCTAAAAACTTATCAGTTAACTTATCAACTTGGCATCCAATCACCCTTATCAATTTATTTATCAATTCGACATCCACTCATATTCTTTTCCTTATTGTCTATTTTTATTATTACAATTCATTACCAATTTATTCTTTTCATTTATTCATTCATTTATATATTTTGAGGTCATTTTTGCTTATATTTATTTTTCTTTTTTATTAAACCAAGTAACCAAATTTAATTAACCAAGAAAACTAAGCCCAATTTATCAGATATGTTAATATTTTGCATTTTATGAGAAACTTCAATTAATTGAAATGATAAAATTTTTTTTGTTTTATTATTTTTTCCCATTTTCTAATGTTAATCGGTTATATTTTACTTATTATTTATTTTTTTCCCACATCAAAATAAATGTAATATCGAATCAGTCCGATTAGTGAAATCCTTTTTTCATCTTTTCTTCATCCTCATTTGGAAATCTTCTTTCATCTTTCTTTTCTTTTCGTTCATCTTTTCCACTTATTTACTTTTTTTTGATTATATTCGAAACAATTAATTTTTATTTATTGATAGAAAGTTTTCATGTTTTTTAAGATATTCAACGACTTTTGTTGCAATTTTCTTGAGATTCAAATTTTTTTTTGAAATTTCTATCCATTGCGATATATCCGATAGAAATTGCATTCAACAAATCGAATAATTGCATATATATATTTATTAAATTTCTGTTGAATTATAATATTTCTACTTTTTTTTATTAAATAATCCTTAATCATTAATAACTGAACAGTAAATTTTTATTTTGGAGAAATTAGTGATGTGGGATTTGCGATCAAATATTATTTAATGTTATTATTATATAATGCTTCTATTATTTGATTATCCTTTATTTTATCCTTTATTTTTTTACATATAACATGGATTTTCGTTTCCAATTTTTGATGTCTTTTTCTTCGTTTATCGATTCTTTTTTAATAATGTCTTGGAAATAAAAAAAGGAAATTTTTTTCATTTACATATTTCTAAGAATATTCTTATTTGCTACCGTCTTTTCAATCTTTTTTTCCGTTCAATATTTTTTAAGTTTTTTTAAGTTTTATTTTTTTTCAATGGTTTCAATTATTCAGTGATTTTAGGCAAAATTGTTTTGTTAAATAAATTTTATGTTTATTTTTTTAATGATTTTTGCAAAAAAACGAATGAATGAAGTTCATAACGAGTTTTCTAAATTAAAAATTAAAACCTACTGTCTAATTAACATCGTTTTCAATTTATTTCAATAGGCTTGATTGTTTTTTTTCAATTTCTAAAGAATTATTAATTCTTGAAATTCTTCTAGACATTTCAAGTTTTTTTAAATCATATTCGTTATTCTTTAACTAAAAAATTTGCACTCAACAACTGTTTTTTAAAAAAAGGCACATAACTCATCCAGTGAACTACTAAAGTATAAAAGATGCGAGAAAAGTGCATTAATATTTTTTCTTCAAATAGTCGCAGCACTCCTCTTGATTTGGTTCATTACAGTGCTGAGTATGATAAAGAAGTTTCAAAGTATCCCAATTCGATGTCATTAGTACGGTCATCTATACGTTCAATGACGCGAGGGCATAAGAAATAAGAATTACATAAAAGGGATATAAAAAACGAACTCAATTCATTGGTATTACTAAAAATTATGAATATTGACCACATCAGTATGTCAATTACTGCGTGGTTGCATAAAGTAGCATTATTATTATCACTATCATTATTACCATTATTATTATCAGTTATATATAATTGCCTTTTATCACCTTTAAATAATCTTATTAAAAATTGTTCATAACTATTAGTAATATCGATGAATTCAGTTATTTCATATTCTATAATTTAATAATTTTTATTTTTTTTGCCTTTTTTTCAAACGAAATATTTTAAATTTCGATATTTCGATGTTCTATGAAAAAGTTAATTCAGTAGACATTGAGGTATTTGAAAAAAAATCTTCAAAAAAAGGTTTCGCTCTTTAGTCCGAACAATTACTCGTATAAAGTGTTCTTCACAACTCCTATTTATTTCATTATTATCTTTTTCTGCCCTTTCATTATCAAAATCTTTTATGTGAATTTCTTCAAATAAAAGATTATCGTTTTGTCCAATAAAAAATATTTCAACGCTTATAGGATTTTTTTATTATGAAAATATATGAAAAGAAGCGAAAATATGTGAATATATTGAATATATTGAATACAGAAGAGAAAGTTTTGCATTTAAAGTTGATTTTTTATATTTTTTATTTTTCGATTTGATTTTCTTTAAAATTCAAAAATTTCACCGAAAAATTTTGTCTAATTTTGCAGTTTTTTAAATAAATATTATAGAAAATAATTAAATATTTTAAATTTTTAGTATTATTTATATTGCTAAATATTCCGTACACTTTATTTTTCATTTATTTCTTTATTTTAATTTTGAGTTAAAATATTTTTATTTTTTCCACAGAAAATCCACGTATGGCATTTAGCTACTCTATTCTTTGCCCTGCTCCTCATTTGAATTAAAATATATAAAATTTTCTTAAATTTTTTGCCCAAACAAGCCAAAAATGACAAAATATTGTCGAATGGTCGATGATGA